CTATTAATTAATCAGATGTCAAATAAAATTAAATTTTAGCTTCTTAAAGATACTTATCTACCAGAACGTTTGCTTGATAGACGACAGATAATCATACATCCGGTATTAAAGTGCTTACCCATCCCCTTCTGTATCGATGAAATATAAACGATCGTATGCTAACTTTTGTACTATTTACACCACAAATATCTATCACTGGATGAGTTAACTGGTCAATGGGAAATTATAACATATATCGGAAACAAGGGCGTTTTTTATTGGCTGCTGTGCTTCAACCAACTCTTGCCTTTCGCGTCCTCCCAACTACTCAAGTGCACTGTTTCCTCGTTGAGCAGGCCATATCACAGACTATACCCTAGTTCAATTTAGGGATGGACCATTAAAAAAGTGAGGGGGGGGGGGGATTTCTGTCCCATTTTGATTTCTGAAAGAAAACATAGTGTTATAAAGTTTAACGTAAGAGAAACTTTAATTGTAAAATCGTTTGAATCTGGCTAAGTTAAAAATATATTCAAATGGCAATATTAATACCAATGCAAGTACTAATCAATGTTACATAACACACAATACATTACACATTACACATTACACATTACACATTACATGCATCTTCTAAGTATAATATTACAATGAATGAAAGTCGATATGCAACGTCCTTATTCAGTGCAATCGAGTGCAGCCCTAAATTGGTTTACTTAATTGTCGTACTCGTATTATATATAATTAGTTTTTAAAGTTTTAGGTAATTTATTCCATGCATTTGCTTCATTGGCATTGTAACTAATGCTACTTTTCGTGAAAATTGTTCTCGGTTTTTGTAACAAAAAAACATTGCCATATTACTACGTAAATTATAATTTGGATTATTTTTTTACTTTAAACAAGTTATTGGGATATGCTGGTAATTGAGTTTTTTTTTGTATACATAAACACTAATTTATTTTTTCCCAGAGATCAACGAGAGGCTTCCAATTTAATTCCCTGAATCGGAGAATTTCATTTGATGGTGTATCGTACGATCTGCCAGTTATAACCCTTGCAGCCCTATTTTGCATTTTCTGCAGCTTATCAAGAAGATATTCACTGCAGTTATTCCATACAAGGCTGCAATTATGATCAAAATATGGCAGTATTATCGCACTATACACCTTAGTCAATGTTGTTTTCGAAATCCAATCTTCTATTCTGCGCAAAATACCTATGCCTTTAGACACTTTGCCTAAAATCGACTCTATTTAATTTTTTCACAATAACTGGTCGTGAATAATTATGCCTAACTATTTTGATTGCTTTACTCGCCTAATCTTTGCCTCGCCAAATTTTATTCTGGATCATTTTGAATCTTTGATAATCTCTGATGCGAGCCTATTAGCATGTATTCCGTTTTATCTTTTGTTTAAAGTCAGTTTATTGGCCGACACCCAGTTACGAATGCTCTCTAAATCGGAATTTAAGCGTGATTGTAGCTCCTCTACATTCGAGCTTTTAAGTTTGTGTCATCGGCAAACATGTTCACAGAAGCATACGATCAGCAATTTGGCAAATCGTTAATATAAAGAAGAATAGTAGTGGACCCAAGTGGATCCTTGTGGCACTCCACTGCAAATTGTATGCGACTGCTAAATAGTTTGTCCGATTTTACACTTTTGTAGTCTATTAGTTAGGTATGATGTAAACCAGTTCTGCTCAACTCCTTTTATACCATAAAGTTCTAATTTTTCAAGTAAGAGACTATGGTCAATGTAATCAAACGCTTTTTTTAAATCCAGAAAAACTACACCATTCAGGCATCCTTTATCCACATTTAAGTACCATTTGTTCGTGGTATTTGGTAGTGAGGTTTGGGTCGAATGCGTTTTTCTGAATCCATATTGATGGTTTACTAATTAGCCATTTGTTTCCAAATAAACAGAAAGTTGATACGAAATAATTTTTTTCAAAAAATCTTAGCCGTTCCAGTACGTGTTGTCAAAAACGTCCCAAATTGATCGCAGGTGCGTGGACTGGAGAATGATGGGAAGGCGAAGAAAAGGGAAGCTATACTCTTATTGGTAACTGTTTCGCCTTCCCATCATGCATCACAACCGATCTTTTTTTCCCAACCACTATATATATGCCGCTGATATGTGCCACAAATAAGAGCCTGCGGAGGTAGCTATGATATCAATTCCAATACTGAAAATTGTATTTTCTCATTGTAGATGCATATTGAAGCAGCGAGGATGCTGTCTTTTACAGAAGACGAGTTCGTCAAAGCACTTGACTGGGGAAAGTGATAAAGTATGAAGAATTACCTGGTATATGTTGTTTTACTCAGGGTTTTCTAATCTAGTTAACAGCATGTAGGTCGTTGTGGTTTCTTTCTCAATCATTACAGGTCTTATAATAGGCATGCAAATCATTTTAGGAGGTTTATATTCAGAGACCTTCATAAAGTACTATAAAGTACCATACTCTATAGTATTATAAATGCATACATGCGTGAACAACCCTTTCAACTTTTGAACTTGCTTGTTATGTTTGTTAAATGAACATTAGAACATGACCACACCCACTCAGCCAATCAGAACTCAGTATTTCAGCGGTCTATCATCCACCATGCATAAACTGTCTCATAGCGAGCTTGAAAGCAATTACAGTGAGTTTACGTGATTCATTAGTATTCTCTATATAGAGCATACTACTGTATAATGAAGCATTCAACAAAAGATAAACAAAGCCTTATTAAGAGAGCATACTAATCAGATATAGAGCATACTAATCAGATATAGAGCATACTAATCAGATATAGAGCATACTAATCAGTTCAGAGCACATATATAGAGCATACTAATCAGATATACAGCATACTAATCAGTTCAGTAAACTCACTGCGAGTATTAATCGATAAAAAAAACATAATACAAAAATACTATAAAAAATACTATTACTCAAAAATATAAAGAACGAAATAATTTTTTGTGCATGGATGTAATCATGTTCGGCCCTCGTGGGCGTCTCGGGTGTCTATATATCCAGTGAAATGAATGATATCCCACTGAACATACGTGATCGTGGTGTATCCTATACATAAATGTTAAGCCTGGTTTCCATGGTCTTTCTCATCAGCCGAAATACAACATTTTAGAACTGAAAATACGCTGAGTGATTATAACTAGAGAATACTTAATTAATAGGTATAAATTATTATAAACTGGCCGTTGAGAAAGATCGTGACTCTATTTTTACCACCATTAACACCATACATATGGAAACCAGGTGATATGTTATGTTAGGGCAACCTATAAGTCCCCCTCCTCATGCTGATATTTAAAATGTTGTAAATAATATATTGCGACGTTATTGTAAAGTCCAAGTTAATACTATGGTTTAAGGTAATTAAGGTTTGCAAAGGACAACCTTTTTTGAATTAGCTATATAAGAAGATCAAAAGAATTTAAGCTGCGTGCACATGTTAACTCTATATAAGGATTCATGCATGGGACCAGTGTTTTCGCCACGCTGAATGAAATTTAAATTTGGATTTAAACAAATTCGTTCAACATGGCGGCGGTGATATAAGATGAGACTGACCGGGTTTTTTTTCAAATCAAGTAAACTTTGAGTCTTTGATCAGTTCCAGATATATGATAGTGACTGTAACATCGCAATTATGATGCTGGTCTGCAGACATCAAAATTCTAAATGATATCATCTCGACATAATCTGAATGTATTCATAATCATCATCATGTGTCACAACGTGGATGATTGATAATACAGGACAGACTAAGCTTGACACTAATATTTGTTATATTTCAGTGATATTTTCTATATTGACTTATTACAAAAAACCAACATTTATAGTTCGACAATTTTAGATTATTTATGCTGAAAACTCTAGTTCACAATATGCGTGTTTATATCGTAAGGGTCCATTCAATCTCCTTAGATCCCAAACACATTGAAATTTATTGGCATTCTATTTTCTAGGAACAAATCGATTTCTTTGTCGACCTTTTTTTGGCTAAAACATTTAAAAGTAATCTTGATTCTTGAACATTAAAAATATATTTGCGCCTTGATATTAATAATACTTTTAATTATTCTCTCACACAACTGCGCAAGTATAGATATAGATCAATGTGCGACTGATTTTTTTTTATTTTGCTTTTCTTGGGCTGCTGAAAACAATAGGTAAATTAAATGAGGTATTGAACGGCATGCGCTGATGATTGATTTACGTTACCCCTTCAATCATTCAATCTTGATATCGAGTCATTATTACCTTTTTGTCATGCTTTCATTGCTGATTGGTGAATCCGGGTGAATCCGCTCAAAGCATGGGTCAAACCGTGGATAGATCCAGCTAGGTCTGGTAGAGGGGGGGGGTTCTCATCGACCCTTGGTCAGATTTCGGGGTGCGAAGTGAATAATCACGACGCACAGTGTTTTATAGAAAAGGCTATAAACACTGACCCTGGCGGCCTGGCAGAGTTCATGCAGGAGCCTTATTGTGGTAAGGGAATTTAATAAGGAAATTGACACCCCTCGTACCCCATTTTCCAAGGCTAGGGGATGCGTACCCCCTTTTCCCCCGCCAGTAAATCAATCCCTGCGGCCTGGGTCAAACTCCATCGGTTTGTGACAGCATACGGAAATGGATTGAGAGGGACTCAACTATACCTGAAAAATACTTCGAAGTTTTACTTGTATTAAAAGTCAATCCGCAGATCCCTGGGTCAAACAGTTTCCTCTCTGACGCGCACGTAACTGCATGATTTACTGTCTAATTTTTACAGAATGTATTGATATACTATTAGGCTTTGAATTACATTCGCGTGGCGACCAGTATAGAATTGTTTTCTTTTTGTGCCAAACACGAACGTTTACTTATTTTGTAAAATTTAATATATTTTTTATATAAACATTCGTATGATTCAATACGCATGCTGTTTTCCATCCATGCACATAAAAAAGAAGTACATCAAGAAAGAATTGCAGACACAATTTTTATCATTAATTCCATTCAGATTTATACATATAATTTCATGATTGATATATATACAATTAATATAGACTATATTGCCTAACTTCATAGATAGATTATCTCTTTTGATAACATTAATCTACATATGACGCCATGCTTCTGTTTGTTCTATCAGCTCCAGGTGTCAGGTGGTGCGACATTACGAGGGAGTAAATCTGTTGTGTTTCTTTTCTGATCCGAGATAAATTGTAGCTGGTTTTTTCCACTTATGTACATGTTCATATGAGCCTAGTTCGCTAGCAAACTCGTCAGTTGAGTTGAACGAATTATCTTTTTTGTTCATATCACTTTTTTATATTCCGGTGGGGCGAAGTTATATAAACATGATTCTCTCGAAATGCTTGAATTTTTACTACGTTATATTACAGTGATCGGTCATCAGGCGGTATAAAGCGTTTTTAGTTAGGGAACCCCACATGACTAGGCCGACTAGGATCGAACCTGTGTCAGGACTGGCTCGTCTCTCCGTCACACACAAATGTTTTTATGTACTTGCAAGAGATGCAGTTCTCGCTCAGATGGTCCCCCGTGCTCATGTATGAACAGCTCGTATAGATATTAATACATGCATTACTGACAGATGTAGAACCTTGCTTGCAGTTTTCCGAAGGGTATATCACTCGACAAGTTTAAAAAACATATTCCCTTCAATCGTCATATACTATACTTTCAATTCAAAATTCACAGCAAAAATGTCGCAACACATTCCAAAAAAAATATCGTGTGGATTTTAAACTGGCAGAGAGTTTAATACTCTTTTTTTCGAAGTAACACATCCCTTGATTAAAGTATTTCATGGAATTCTAAACGATGATGATTTCAAACACGGGATGTTTTTGTTCCACTTCGATTTCGGCGAATCTGTACAGCTCTGGTAATGACATGATGTACACTATGAGTATTATCTGCTGACTCAAATACATGGCTATTTTTATTGAACAATATTGACTGTAAGGCTGCGCGAAAATCACGATTATGCATTGAATATATTATGGGATTTAGTGCTGAATTGGCGTAATGAAGCCACTTGACTATGATGACCACTTCAAATGATATCGTACATTTTGTACAGTACTTACTGAGTAGTGATAGTACGAAGAAAGGCAGCCAGCATGCTAGAAACGCTCCAATGACTAACGAGATTGTCTTAGTTGCCTTGAGTTCTTTGTCAAAATGTTTCTTATTTGTGTTTGATTCACTTGAATTAGGCAGGCAGCTGCGCCGGATGCGCTTCGCTTGAGCTTTTGCCGCCTTGAATATATTTGCGTACGCAAATAGAATTGTCCCAAGTGGCAGGAGAAATGAAAATCCTGTGACAAGTAGAGAGTAATATCGCCATTTGGTTTCACGCAGTACTGCAACGCCAAAGGAATAACACCATACTAAAAGTATTACAAAAATAGCTCTTGATTTCGGCAGGAATCTTTCATATGACAACGGTTTACTGATAACTATGTATCTGTCAATTGAGACCACTGCTAGACTTGTAATGCTCGCAGTCGCACACGATATATCGAGCGTGATCCATGATTTGTATAACATGCTCGCCGTAACTTGACGATCTTGTAACATGCGATGAAACCAGAACGGCATTATTATTGCGCCAACAAGAAGATCAGTCACTGCAAGATTTATAATGAAACATCTGGTGACAATACGCAGTCGAGTTGCTTTACAGTACGCAGCAATTGCAAGCAAATTTCCAACAACTATCACAATAATAAGAGTCCACATGAAGAGTGAAGATATAACCTTGTACGCATACGATGATATACCCTCACTTTCTTGCAGATTGGTTGTAGAACTATTTTCAGACATCGTGAGTTTTGTCGTTTCGGCTCTTGACACTTTGTAGTGATGCTTCTACAATGAAGTGAAATTAATGAGGGAGGGTGAGACAATTGCGTGAAATCTCGCAAGAAAATCTGTTAAGATGAAGCAACGAGATTATAGGTCTCATGCAACCATGTTTGTCTGGTTGTTGTGATGATATTCCAAAAATAGCTATGCTTATATGGAATTCAACTGTTGGGCTCAATAGTTTCTATGATGAGCCATATAGTCATGCTTCTTCGAGCAGGGCAAATTCGTCGCGCATAATAAGTTTAAATTGCATAATATTCTAATTTGTGTTTTACTAGATTCGTTGGTTCCGTTTCAACTTTGGTCTTTTCACATGTATAAAACAATGCATGCATTATTGGTGCATATGCCCAATATCAGTATATATTCGACTGCTCCGTAAAGATTCCTTTTCCGGCTGATAGTTTCAGCAAATATAAAACTAATGTTATTTCGAAAAAAGTATGCATTTTAATTGCAACACATCTATTTTAAAAACTGTATATTTCGAATCTATTTTGATTCATCTTCAGCAGTGTATTTAGAAGAATTAAAGATTCACGTTAATAAATTCTGTTAATAATTCCTCGGGGGATGAGGCGGAATTTTTAGCTTAAAAATTGCCCTGATTTGGCAAAATATGCAAAAATATATTCTATGTTAAATTTTAAACTGAAAATTACGTTTTTCTCATCCTATTTGGTCGAGCAGTTAACACAAAATTCCACGTTCTATAAGGTAAAGAGTGAAAGAATTACCCATTCCATAATTCCGCCTCGTCTCCAGATAATTCCGTTTTGAGGTTATAGGAAGCAGACAAGAAGAACATGTATTAGAGACAACAGCGGTACTTTGAACAGTTGATTGTCTATGTTTCCTGATAATTCGAGTCAACAGGGTCAACAATATGATTACAGTATACAACTCATCTATGCGTCTGACGTGATATGTGCAGCCAAGCAAACTTAATATTCCCCAGAAATCAGAGCAATATGTCATCAGAGCACACAAGATCACAAAATCTACACACAACCATATTTTGAGAGGCACGAAAGCAAATTTTCTGATATCTTCAATTTAGGATTAGTCAAATTAAGTTTTAACTCAAATCAGACATCCTGAGAAGTTCATTTACGCTGAGGACCAGGTATAGCTGTATTGAATCGTTTACGTATTATGCATGGATATCTTTTAATTTCTGCATGTCGTACTATATCTGATCTGCATCAAAACATACATTCTTATAATGAGTTATATAAATTCTTATAGATTTTTTAGCCAACGCATTACGAAACAAGCCTCGTGGTTTGAACTTGTCATTGCCATTGGAGATCAATATGGAACTCTCTGTGTATATGATAGAATATGTGTACTTTTTGTACATCATGCATGTACGATGTTATTGGTGTAAGCCAGCTTATTAACTGTGAACTAGGTCTTCACTCGACAACTTGATGTTATCCACATAAAATAACCATGTGTGTTTTCATTTCATCTGAAACAATCGTCATGTGCTTAGGAAATTATCAAAACGTTATTATTTCATGAATTCTGAATAGAACTTGTTGACAGTATATGTATATCAAAAGAATTAACATCGACTCGAAATGGGGATTACTGCAAATATACTTAAGTTAAATGGTTTCAGCTCTATATTTGTAAACATATGATCTTTTCTACATGTTAAACATACCTGAGCTTGTTTCAAAACTACAGTATCTCGTGAAGGTCACTTCTCGACTTCTCCAGCGCTACAAGTATCAACTTATCGGCAACATTAATTTCGAACAAAGAGAACATGTTTACCGCAGAGTTTGCCAACCCACGCAAATATTTCATATTATATTGATTCCCGCATCCAGCTCTGTCAAAAATGATATTATATATATAGAGATTCGCTTACCGATAACCCAGTCCATGTAAACGTAGATACATCTCAGTTGACCCTATTTATCATGATTAATTTAACGGGTATGCAGCGAGATAATTCCAGTTTAATCAGTACGGCGGATATCAACTCCGTCATATATCACTTTACTCCACGCTTTAACTTGCGGTATTGTTCGCGTATTAAAAGGAACATAACAGATGTAGAAACGATTTGTTGAATGGAAATTGGACAGGGGTGGTTAATGATGGCTTGCAGGCGTAATTTACGTAAAAGATTGCCTTGGCCTTGCGTTTTTTAAATAGAAACAATGCCCCGTGATTTCTATTAACAAGCAAAACCCGTCTTCAATTACATTTTTTCCCGATATACAACAAGCATCATTTGTATAAAATAGCTGAGAAATCTTGAAAATTTTGAAAGGCTTTTCATTTGACTGTGCAAGTACTGGGACGTTTGCAGAACTATGGCAGTATATATAGTTACTCCTTTTTCAACCGGATTGTTTTGCTTTGGAACAGTCTTCCCTTTCATATCATTGAATTTTCCGTCTAGTTTCCTCTTTTAAACACAATCTTTATACCGAGTATTTATCCATACCTCTATCGACCTTTGATGTAAATGGAATGCGTATGTGGAATGCGTATATTTACAACCCAAGTTGCTGCTCGTGAGGGTTGTTTTCATGCACTTTTCATGTCATAGTATTGGTTCAAATGTGACAGTATGTTAAATGACTGTGTTTGTGTCTTTACCTTTAGTCTTCAGGCATATTGGTTTTAAGGGAAAAAAGGGAAATGTTGCCATTCCATATATGGGATTCCTATTCGGCTACTGTGTTGTCCATACCTTCAATCGTATACAGTTTATACCTATATACTGAATTCTTAATTTTAGTTGATATAGATATACTGTATGCTGATTTTGATAAAAAGTTGTAAAGTTAATAAAAAAAGTAAGTTCCAAAGTGCATGTTCCCTCTAGAGGTTTCATGCAGCAAGGGCCATCCTTCAGCTGAGAGAGGAAGCACGCAGAGAAACCTTGTGGTGTTAGGTAGGGTACGTCCAGTGAGCTCTATATATATCTGGAGTGAGAACTTCGGTCAATGAGAAAAGTGAACCCAAGATGGCGGCCATTGACGTCCAATAGCTCTGAAGGTCGTAAACAGTTTTTATACCATTTTCTCCAGCTAATTCCAGTTTTTTCTAATGGACCGTATCACTAATCAAGTTTTCAGTTCATAAAATCACAATATTATTCTTTAAATCGAAGTCAAAATACAAAATTTCATCACACTCCTTGCCAAGATGGCGGAAATTGAAGGAGCTCTTCGACGTCAGTTCCAGTGCCTTTCTATTGTTTTTGTATGCGCGGTTAACACGAAACTGGCTTCGATCACTTTAAACAATTTACTTCTTTCCCTGATTTCAAATTTAAGTAATATATAATTGTAATATAGCTAATGTTCTCTTTTATATAAATGTAATGTCATATATACCTCATGTAACATAACCTTTTTAATTAAGTAAACTTGAAAGTCAACTGAATATTGATTTATAATCATATCTATATATTTATAATCATATATATATATATATATAAATGTTGTAAATGGACAATTGATATACTCCCTAATTTTTTGTAAATTTTATGAGGGCCACAAGTTCATTAGTACTTCGTACTATTTAAGTGTCACCCTCTTTAAATAAAGTCTCTATCTATCTATCTATCTATCTATCTATCTATCTATCTATCTATAACTTTGAGCAACCAAGTTCCCACTCCAGATATATATGTTTGTGCACGTTGAGCGCCACGTTTTATCCTTGCGCGTTTTAGACCGTCCATCCTGGTCACGGCACCAATGTCTCGTTCGTCACTCGAAATAAGCTATAGTCTTGTCTTGCGTTGTGTTAACTTGTCTACGACGATAACGAGATCTAATGTAGCGTAGGTTCTTTCGATAGAGTCAAGGACGATCTACACCATAGTTTGAATATGTATTATTTACACTAACACAAGCTCAAAGGCCAGTGCGAAAACTATATACAACAAAAAGGTGATTATCAAATTATCCTGAATGTCCCAGTTATCCTAGTGCAAGTGTAATTCTATCCTAGTTCAATTAACTAACCGTGTTCGATATAAGATATTAATAATGAACTGTTTATATTAGAATGCGTGCAAGATATCTATAATGTTCAAAGTACTGTCAATTCTCGACAATATATGGAGCTCACTGGGTACGTCAACGAGAAGCATTACAGCTTCTTAATTATATAAGGCCGATTTACACCACACAACGTTTGCCTAAAACTGTCGCACGCAACGTGCTTACAACTTGAGTTGTATTGTACATGTGTAAATCAAGCACGCATGCAACTCACCTACGACAACGTTACAACTCAAGTTGTAAGCAAGTTGCATGCGACAGTTTTTGGCAAAAGTTGTGTTAGTAGTGTAAATTGACCTTCAAACATTACAACGTTTGGACAAATCAGAACCATACCGTTTCACTTGTTCACACTTACCGTTTCACTTGTTATACCGTTTCACTGCATGCAGTGCTCGAATTCGACCGCTTTCGTACGCGTCCTGTTGTAAACCGTCTTCGTTCCCAGAGCTTTTCGGCTGCCTGCCGTGCCGTGGAAACTATAACCATAGGGTGGTTTGATGTAAAACGAAAGGCAAAATCGTGCAAATTTGAGTACGGTTTCAAACTCTCCTCCGTGTAATGTTTAACTGACTCTGTTGCTAACAAAAAACTTGGTGACGTTTTGAGAGCGATAGCTCGATCTCGGTCAGGAAATATAGTGACGTTTCTTGGCCGAGAGTATACAAAGCTATTTTTGCCGGCTATTTTCGAGCTACTGTTTCTTTATTTAATGAAGCACGTTTCTGTAACTGTGATGGAAGATATAGAAACACGGAAAATTTGCCGCGTCGCACCTTTAAATTTAAAAACGTAAACAAACAAATAATTACTATAGTAGTCCCGACAACAAATAACAATCCGGCTTTTGGTTTTGGGCCAATTTGGGGGCGATACACCAACTGAAAATTTGGCTATAATTATAGCGCAAAACAACAACTATATGATAACATCAGTGGATTACTTTCAGTGCATGATGTCTTGATGACGTTAGTATGTATTTTTCAAACATGACAGAAGACAGGCGGGAGTAGTCCGGCAAATCAATATAAATCGTACGAATCACGCGATTTATTATAGTGGAATTTATCAATTTTAGAGTATTCTATATTTAAGAAATATAGAAAACATTTTCAGCTTTTCGATATACTGTACAGTATAGAAACACACGCGGAGTATACGTGGGAGTTTGGGAGAACGAGAAATAATCAGTTTGTGTGAAAACGAGCCTGTAAATTAAGCGATTCAAATTCTCCCACATCATCTTTTATAATTGTATAGAAAGTTAAATACACAGGAAAAAATGTTTTCTTGCTCGTCAATTTCACTTTAAATAAACGCACTACTTCTCCAATATTCATGCTGAAGTCGAAGTATTCCTTCAAGTTTCCATGTTGTCTCAACTGCATGATCTTTGTTGAGGCCATTCGTTTCCAAACCCTAAACTCTTCATATCCGCCTTCTGCCGAGTTTTAAAGCAGTATCAGTATGTCCCGCGAGGTATTTCCAAAGAGCAAATATGAAAGAAGTGTCGACAAAAATCTATGAAGCGAGATTCTGGAGGATTCGTGCATGGTTTTATGCCATTGAACATAACATTTAGCATCGTATAAATCAGTTGAAACAACTGTTTCAATGGAAAGTAGAAAGATCGTGTGCAGCTCTTGTAAGAGTGGAATATCTTTCCACGTCTCAAATTAGTTCCTGTAATGACGGCAACGGGCATGCAAGGGCCCTGCCCTATATAGGTTGGCTGATTCTCATCTGATTTGTTGTCAGATCCCAAGAGTATAGTTTAACAGAACTACGGATAGACCGTCATATAGACTTGACCCACGTCTGTCCGCTCAAAGAGGCTTTTATTTAAGTTATACGGCGGGTGGGAGTAATTTAAAGGGTGGCGGGAGATGAAAACGCGGGAGTGGAGACAGTACTGTCTCTCCTCTCCCAATCTTCTCGCCTTCCACCCGCCCGCCCGCCTTTAAATCCTTCCCTCCCGTATTTCCGCGCGCTCTTTATACCCCTTTGAGAGACAAAGTTGGAGTAACTCTCTCCTACGCAGAGGCTTTTTGGCATATATTTATTATGGTTTGAGAGCGTTTATTGCGTAATTGCGATCACTTGCGTGCACCAGAAGTTCCTAGAATCATTCTAAAAATGTTGGTGAATAATCTTTGCCCTTGCACAATTAAGACGATGAAATTCACCTACCGGCTGCCTTTTCCTAAATATTTCATAAGTCCGTGTCCATCACCTGTCCGGCCAGCCTCGTCTGTAAATTAACAAATCACGTACAAAAATCACGTCTGGTCTGTGCGTGAACTTTATGGCAATTATCGCGTACAGAATGGTACTTTTTCGCCTTGCGTCCGGAGCAGGCGGTAAACATTTCAATTTATATTCCTACCATCGATATTCACTATTCACCTTCCACCTCGTACAATATACTAGACATTTTGAATTTGTGGTCGGCCGCCCTGTATCTCTATGAACAGGTTTTGTTATTATTTGTTGATGATGACTGTAAAACACATTGGACCGCATCGGTTTTCCATTGGAGATCAATTGTGGTTCACCTCCAAATCATGGCATAACTGATAATACACAAAATTGACAAAAGAAATTATCTTTCTGAAGAACGAATCATAAACACTGAACTACGCTTTTGTTTGAGAAATCAATCGCCAGTGTTGTCGCTAAGGGTGAGTCGGCAAAATATTGAATCCCAGTCGGCAAAACATGGATTTGGACAGGAAGAAAAAAATTAAAATATTTGAGTGACACCGATTAAAAATTAAGAATGATAGCTAAAATGTGGAGAAATTTATAGAAAAAATTAGGGAAAAATGGAACGAACCACGGTGGTTAAACGAAATATATTATATATTTCCGTAAACCTCCGAATATAAGCTCCCGCTGAATATAAGACCCCCCCCCGTGTATAAGCCCACCACATGTACTAACGCTCATTCCAAATATAAGCCCCCCCAAATATAACACCCCCCCCCCGAATATAAGCCCAGTAGCCTACTACGTTATTAATTCAACATTGACATTGTCTTTTAATAGACCAGAGAACGATATTTAAAAACTTTGTCATTGTATTTATAGCTTACTATGTTAATCAAAGCGCGTTATTAATACATGTTTATTTTCCTGTTTATGACTGACTTGTTTTGATTACTAACACAAGAGATTGTCCATGTATAAGCCACCCGTATATGAGCC